TCTCTTGTATAGAGACTACATGCCATGTACTTTGTACTTTGTACTGGGTGAAGACTTCTATGGGTTATCTCTTTTTTCTTTCTTTTTTTTTTTTTTTTCTTTCTTGAGTGTGCGAGAGAGAGTGAGAAATCGCCCGCCAAGGGGGATGGCCATGCTGTAATCCTTTCCCTTCCATTCTCCTCTCGGGATTTCAGGCATGCACATGTGTCTAGTGTGAGTTTTTTGTTTTTTGTTTTTTTGTTTTCTGCTATAGGTCGCATATGCTTGCTAGAGAAAGAGACAGACAGAAAACAAGAAATCACTTCCCAGAAGGGATGGCCACGCCACAATCCCTTCTCAGGATCTTGGGCACACATGAACATATGCCTGGTGTGTTTCAAGCTGCTGGGTCTGGGACTCAGAGTGCAGTTGGCCACATGGGAGTCCAGTGCCTTAACCACAATGCCACCTGCTGGCCCCTTTATTTCATCTTTAAAACTACTCAATGAAGGGCTGTGCAGTAGTGCAGTGTTAAAATGTGAGCTCTGCAAGAGAATTCCCATGGGAAGGTGACTAGTTCACATCAGAGTTCTCCCTGTACAGTGTGCCTGGCTGCATGTACCATTGTCCAGGCTGGCACAAACTGGAGGCAAAGCTCAGCACTGAGACGCCAGCAAAGGTGCCATATGTCTCTCTCACTTGTTAAACAATCTTAAAAAATAAAATAAAATTACCCTATGGGGGAAATAAAATCACGTTTTGGTTTACAGATAGGCACACTGTAAGTCAGATGGGTTAAATAACGGCATAATCACACGCCTAATAAGTACAGATGAGGGCTCAAATTCAAGGTCCTAAATCCCCAAGCTTTTCACTGCTTTCCACAAAAGCCATCATTCTATGATGTAACCCATGTAGTTCAAAAAATAGATATTCTGAACACAAGGAAACCACACACACAATCTTTTACTTTTTATTTATATTTCTTAGTTCAAGAATTACACACTAGCCAACATTGTTATATATTTACATGCTGAAACTGGCTGCAATAAATTTAAATTCAAGAAAATAATTCTTATGTGCTATTCATTTATAATCCTCATTTTTTTTAACTATCTCATGTATCCCAGAGATTTTAGTAGTCCTGTTTTTAGAAAGACATGAAAATAGATGCAATGATATCCACTTGTGTTTTGCATTTTCTAGCCATTGGAAAATGTGCATTATGTGCATATTAAGAAAGGCTACAAGGTAATTAGTAAGGCTGATAATCACTACATTGTGAAGAAACTAGAATATCACTTTTATAAAAGGACAATTCAGAACTGTGCAGGGACAATATTCATAACAGAACTATTTAAACACCCATGCAAAGAAAATTTTAAATGTCATGGAATTTAAATTATAAGCATCTTTTGAATATGTTTAAAATGACCATGGTTGAATTCAAGTTATTGAACCAAAAAGGTAAATGATGGGAATGTCACCTTGCTTCAGGTGGTGCAGGGACACACACATGGGCATTGAAGGACTTGTGACAGGGGAGTGACATTTAGTTTGGAAACTCAAAGAATATAAAGTTTTGTGTTTCATTATTTTGGATCATATTTATATTTATTATAAAAAGCACTTTGTCAAAGCAAATTAAAATTTGATGTTGGAATTTTGCATGTATCTACAGAAATGTTATATTTCAATGTTCAAAAATAACGAAAACACAAAACCAATAGCTACGTAACAGTGCATTTTTAAAAAGGATTTAAGAGCAATCTCTTAATTTGCATTCTGTTGACTCCTTAGTATTGTTACAATGTTCCTAGTGCATTTGGAAAATGATTTTAAACCTTTGGTGTGAAGCAGTATCTTTTTTCCCTCTTTTTCCCTCTTTTTCTTTCCTTTTGTGTTTTTTTTTTTTTTTTTTTAATAATTCTGGAGTCTTTGGTTGAAAGGAATAATAGTATCTAAGGACAAAAATGCTTTTACTAAAAAAAACCCAAAAAACAAAACAAAACAAAAAAACCAAAGTGTTCTAGTGTATATTATATGCAACAAATTTCTGGAGCTGGTAAGAAGAAGCATTTTTATTTTTCATAATGCCAGCAATACAAACTTTTATTCTTTGAAAATTGAGATTTAAGCTGCAAACTTTGGTTTATCGAACTCTGGCATACAAAAAAAAAAAAAACTCTATTAAGTTATTAATGATCATTTCTGCTTTTCTCCATTGCCATTTCTAAGGCTATCTCTGGGTCATCATAATGGCTACATAAATACTACAGCGTTTCCCACAGAGGGGGGGAGTGTGGGAATTAGCGAAAGATTATGTGTTGTGTGTGTGCATGTGTGTGTAATGACTGTATGTGTGTGACAGCAAATTGAAACCCTTCTGTCTGGGATTCCCAAACCACTTATGCAAAAGGGTGTTTAAATTACTCTGCTGGGGCACTGCAGTAACCATACTTAGTAAAAAATAAATAAAAATTAAGAAAAAAAAACTAAACAATTATTTTTATCTATTGACTATTCATTTACAGCATGTTTAATTATTTACATAATATTATAACACACCAACTTAAGCCATAAACAGAATTAGCATGTTGCCTTGCCATAAAATACAAATTAGAAGTTAAAAATATTTAAGAAATCTGTTTTAATATTTACACGCGCTCAGTGAAAGTTATGGTTGCTCACATGACATGTATTCTGTACACTTAGCAAAATGGTGTGGTTGCTACCATATTTTGCCCTAACCAACATGGTGGGGTGTAGTATTTTTTTTCCCCTCCTCCTAGGAGGAATTTTTAAAATTGTTTTTAATTTTCTTAAGACATTTTTTTGTTTTTAAATCACCAATGGACGATGTTATTTGTTTCCTCAAAAAAGAGAGCGATTAGACAAGCTACATGAGAACTTGTTAACTTCTGATTCTCTGAGGTACAGTACTATTGCGGAGTCCAACTGTACAATGGTTGGTAAGAACTGTAGGCATTGATATGCTGATAGAGAAATGCTCAGTACCCTGTATTACTTATTTCAATATGTTGATCATTGGTTGCCAAATTAAAATACTCACACATTGGTTGAATGAAGGAAACAAATCATATTAGCTTATTCCTTTTGTTTTCCAACATATGAATGCATATATATGTATGTATGTTTATATGGGTCAATATATATACACATATATACATGTAGATATGTTGTAAGACCTGTTTCTGTTGATGTTGGTTGGCTGCTCTTGCTGTCGAGTAGGAAATTAATCATAAAACTGTAACACAGTTACCTATAGAAAATGGAATTGTCTTAGTTGCCAATTGAATGCAGGTCTTGCTTAACATAAACACGATGCATTTCCCACTTACATAGTCCACTGCACTCTATGTGTTGTGCTTTTGTAAGCTGACAGATTTTTTTGTGTGTGTTCCTAATGCTAGAATGTAAAGTCTTTTGGTTCATAAACCATTATTATTATTATTATTATTATCATTATTTTACTTAGCACTGCTTTTGAAGAAATGAGAAGAGAAAAGGACTAGATGGCACTGCTTGAGTCTTTTCCCCTGTTGTTAAGTTGCAGTAGAAAGAATTGTAACATTCCTTATGCAAACACATGATTATGTTGCATGAGTTTTCAATTCTGAAATGCATTTCATACCTACTAGCAGTCATATACAGTATATATATACAGATTGAGATCAAAGATTTCATTTAGACTGTGCATTTTAGAGTCAGAATTTGCCTATGAATTTCACAAAGATGGAAAAACACCTTAATTGCTGGCGATCTGGCTGTTTTAGAATCAAAAGAAAAACTACACATATATAAAAACTGAGAGTAATACCATACTGAAAATGCCCAAACACACCTTTTTGGTCCTTTAGTTTAACCACTGAATATCAAGCTGACTAGTCTTCCAAGACTTTTCAGGCCTAGCACCCTCCCCTACAGTCCATGACTGCTTGCCAATTCAACTAGAGTAAACAGTTTAAGAATAAATTCTACATCTACTGTTATTTCTGGACAGGATGAGTCAGTTGTTTCTACCTACGTGGTTACTGAGTGCCAATACATGGCCTCCACTCTGGGGTATGGATTCCAAGAGCCCATCTTTTTTCCTTTGCTTAATTTCTTCATATCACCTATAGCAGAAATGAATTCCTGATCATATGATTTTTGAGGCTCATGTTGCTAAGACATTGGTCTCCACTTTGACCTAGATCTCTCTGTCGATTTCTCTGGATATTCAAACTTTTGTTGTAACCGCAGTGACAATACCAAGGATTTTTATGGCTTTTATGATAATTGCAATTAAGAGCCCACTTCCAGAGCTGGGCTCTTAGTTATCTCTAGATAAACCCTTCCAGAATGGCATTTGAGAGTTGTGCCCCTGAGTTATCAGTATGATCCTTCCTGATATTTTGTACTTAAACTTTACCCCCTGGTGACAAGGGGCAGGCACTTCTATTAATGTGATGCCCCAAAATGATTGCCTAGAGGAAAGTGTGTCGCTGGAGAAGCATGAGATATCTCTAATCTGAGCCTATAGAAAGAAACTTGGTCAGATTCTGCCCAAAGATTATGCTCAAAGGTGGCTGAATATATGACAGAATCTAAGGGCCAGAGTTTCCTACACTGATTAAAAAATAATAATAATACCTTTCCATCTTGGGGCAAATTTAGAAAGTTGAATGATAAACCTTTTTGTTGTTCTCTGAGAGTTGGAAGGGCAACAGGGCTCCATCATATTCCGAGCTACTGAATCATGAGAGGAAGAAAACATATTTTATCCGCTAGCAGATACTAGCCTTGGCTACTGTGTACAATTAGGGATGTTATTCTGAAAAGAAGACTCTTCTGTGTTTTTTTGTGTTGTTTTGTTTTTTTTTTTTTGCTTGTTTGCTTGCTTTTAAATAGAAAGTCATTCTCTAAGAAAAAATCAATCAAATCAAACTTTAAGGAAAATTTGGCAATTCAATTATTTTCTACAAGAAAAGCAAAATATAAGCCTCACATTGATAGGAATTAAATATATTAGCTTATTCTCTTTCCTGTCCAACATATATGAATGTATATGTCCAATTAGTATTAAAAAAGCACAATGACATAATTTAAAAATAGAATAAAAACAATACATCATGCCTGCCTGATTATCAGTTAAATATTTTTCAGCAATATCAACTGAGGCTCATAATGTTCATCACATTAATGTGGCTTTGTCATTATCTTTTCTTTCCTATTTTTTGCATTTCCTCAATTACAGATTGCAACATACACAATGAAAGTACGTTCACCCTTTTAAAAAAAATCAGACCTAGTGAACTCACTAATTAACTCTCCTTGTGGACATACTCTTTGAAGTACTGTCTGCTTTAAAAAAATACAAAGGTGAGTTTCATTGCACATAAGAAAATACAGTTCATTCTATGTCTCCAAAGCCTGACTTTGCCTGTCTCCAAAGAGTATAATCAGAATTTTGAAAGCAAGAAAAGCTGGAAAGGATCATTAATCCTTTAAAGCAATGAACAAATCCTTCTTTTGAAATGCCCTATTAAATTCAGAAATAAACTTTTGGGAAATGTTGCAGGGACAACTGATATTGCCTGAGAAAAACAACCTGTTTCTTAGGCTTTGTCTGGTATACTAATGACTCCCAGTCTAACAGAAACATCAAAGGTACTTCTAATGTGCTGAACATTTCTATTTCTTGTTTGTCTTTTAATTACATAAGCTATAAAACTGTTCTAGGTTTGTTGGTAAAATATTGTCATGTTAGGAAAAAAAAAATCCTTCTCACTCCACTTTTGGCCACTGGACACAGTATATATAAGACCTGGTGCTGTGTAGAGCTGATAAGGTCATGCTTGCTTGTTTTAATTTTGTTACAACAGTCATTTCTGGAGTTTCTTCTCTGCTTTGTGCTGCTACCTCTTATTTTAGCCATCGAGAAGATAGTTTCTTAGCAAAATTTTCTTTGGTCACCATGCATGATAATATTCAGAAGTCTCCCTGTCTCTAAATGCCAAAATAAAAGACATCATGGGTTGATTCCCTGTGCTTGAGCAAAGAGAGACTGACCAAATTGGTTTCCTGAGTTTCTGTCTTAACCATCTCCTCTCCTGTACCAACTATATGAGAATCTTCTAGAGCCCAGTGGGAATAATCTTCTCAAGATACCATTATCGCCTTAAAACGATGGGCATAAACAGTCTCCGAGTCACATGTTTGCATGGCATTGCAGATGTTTCATAAGCACGGTGGCATCTCACGGCACACCAACCTTAGAAATGAAGATGGGAGGTATCTGGATTTGACCACTTATCAGGAAAATGACTGACAATGCTATTCAGCTTTCTAAGAATATCTTCTAAATAACTCCCTTCTGAGTAGGCTGCATATTAAGCAGACAAACTGGAACACTCAGACTCAGTCTTGCCAGCATGTGTACAAATGACTCGCATTTTAACTGGAAAACCACAAGGACCTTAGCATATTTCATTACTTAGCAGAAGCAACCCAAATGGTATGGAATGGACCACAGGATAGGCCAGCAACTAAGGTATTTTAGCATCACTTTTGTCCTGAATTGATGTGTTTTCCAAGTCCTACGTCAGGCTGTACAACTGGTTTGAGGAGGAATCTAGTCCTTGCTTCCCATGGGAGGCCATGATTTAGTTCACATAATAAAGCCAATAGACGATGTTGAAGAAGGAAAAAACCACTGGGAAGAATATGCGGGACCACCGATCTATGGCATTCACATCAGTCAAGTCGGGGATGGTGATTTTCAGTTGGGAGGCGCGTCTCCGCAGGCGGCTTTTCTTTTGTGCCACGTGTCGTTCCAGAGCATTCCGGCCAAAACTATGCCGGGGCAGCCCAGCTTTCCGATACTGGATGCTGGAGGCATCATAGGCCAGCATGGTGCTCCTGGGGTCTCCAAGTCCCATCACGGCTTCGGACGTGGCCATTTCATTTTTGATCTCTAGAGTGCTCAGTAAGATGTTCTCATGGGGGTCCATCTGCAAGAGAGAATAAAAAAGGAAATCCGAGGTGAGAAGCCTTCGTTGGTGCTTACTATGTAGACACTGTGACTGGCACTTTAGGTAACAGTGACCATAGTGGTAAAGAGCTAGATTGGCAATTACATAACAGGAGTTTGAAGTGTGGCTCTGCCACTATATGCTATGTGAGTTTGTTTCTCCATCTGTTCTGTGATATGATGATGCAACCCTAGACGATTTCTCAAATGATGTAATGATATAATAGATTGTTGCGAGTATCATTCTCCTGATTTCTACTTAGAGTGTACAGAGAATGGCAGGTGTGACACCATTTAAAGACTTTATAGACTTGACATGGACACAAAAAAATTAAACTGCACTAGGTATGACATAGTATTAGAGGATTAATTACTGCATTGTGCTCACGTAGTAGCCTAATTATAGATGAATTAATCACAAAATTAGAGCTAAAAATAGTGAATAATTATCAAGTACTTGCTGTATGAATGCCAGGTACTTTTTCTGTACTATTTTATTTAATTAATGCTTAAAACCTGGAGTTATGAGGTGTCACCTTAAAATTGGGATGTCAATATAAATACAGTAAAGGAATAGTTTTGAACAATATAAACACAGGCCACATGTGACCTGCCAAACAGTAGAATTCAGAGCAACAAAGGATTTAAACATAAGAGTAAAATAGCTGGAGGCCAGGGATAGCAGAGGTGCTGAAGGACTGAGTCAGGGAGTGTGGCTATGTTAAGAGAAAAGGGTTAGGAGGAAAGAAGAGAGTAGCCTAGAGCTGACTAAAATCAGTTGAGTTCTGAGCCTTAGTAGTAGAATTAAGTTGGCTGCACAGATAATCAAATCATCTCTCTGGATTTTGTTGGTTGCATAGTTTAAAGTTTGAGAGGTTTTTGCTATAGGGTGCGTGCACTCGCCAGACAGAGAGAGACAGAGAGACAGAAAGTGAGAAATCACCCCTCAGGGGGATGGACACGCTGCAATCCCTTCTCCTCCATTCTCCTCTCGGGATCTTGGGCACACACGCACACACGCCCAGCATGAGTTTTAAGTCACCGGGTCCGGGACGTGAACCACGATCGACTACATGGGAGTCCAGTGACATAGCCATTACACTAACTGCTGGTCCCAAAAGTAAAGGAAAAATATTGATATCATGATTCCCAAATATTTAATTATTATATAATGTTTTTGTTGTGTTAAGAGAGAGAAATACTTGATCCGTTCATGGGGGCACAGGTGCTGGGACACCACTATGTGATACTGCCACATACTGTGCAAGGCCTGGGTTTGGATCTGGATCCATTTGAATATATTGAGTAGACCTGTGCCCACCATGACGTTGGCTGTCTGGGAGACTGGGTTGAGAACTGCAGCATGGCAAGACCCTGTTGAGGGGACTACTCTCTCTCATTAAGAAAAATATATGCAAAATTTAAAATACATTTTTAAAAGAGGAAGATTTATGTGCTTTATTTATTTATGAATGAGAAAGAAAGATAAAACATGTGAATAGAAGTGGGAGGGTCAAGGGGGCAGGTGAGAGAGAGGGAGAGATAGGTATTTTATTTATTTATTTATTTGACAGGGTCTTACCTTTACTATCCTCTGCCTCAGCCTCTGTTAGCTAGGATTGCAAGTGCTTACTTCCATGCCTGGCCTATTTAAGCTGAGACCAGATCTAACCCCAGACCTCCCATGTGGCCCAGACCCTCTACAGCCCCATTGTTTGTGCCAGGGTGGCTGGGCCTGTGTGCCTTACTTTGTTACATTTAATCACTGTATGTCTGTACAGTGTATAACACAGGTCTCCCCAGTATGAATACAGTGCATATTAGTCAAGTTAAATACATTACCATACACATTATCATACGTGGATCACTTTTCATTTTTGTGTCTATTAAATGTTTCATTTGTTCCCTGCCTTATTTTCAATAGGCCTCGATTATACATATTAGGCTATATCCTCAATGAGGTATTATTTACAACAGAATGCATTTATTTTGATGGAAAATCAGAAGACATAAATTGCAAGTATAATTTTTGAAATAAAGGAAGAAAAAAATGGCCAATAATAGGTGCTGATGATGCATGGAAACAGGAATATAACCAAACACTTAATTAGAAGATTTAGTGCTGTGAGCCTCATGAATTATGCAGAAGGCAAAAAGAATGTTGCTAAGATTATATATTAACAATTAGCTTTCAAATGTGGTTTAATAGCTTTGTATTATAAATTAAAATATAAAATATTTTGAAACCTAGAAGCTATAAAATATACTGGAACATAATAATTGAATAATTAATCTCTGTCCACTGGTCAGATAGTCTGTATGTTTGGTTTATGGTACCATTTTGCTTAACAGAAATACTAAACAAATATATTATTAAAATTCATTTCAAAAGCTTCCAAGATTTAGAAACTATACTACATAAATGTTGAAACAGATCTGTGAAGGGGGAGCAAGGTAATGGCTTTCAGGATGAGTTCCCTAATGCTAGAGAAGGAAAGGAGCATGAAGGACTCCTGCTAGGAGCCAGTGCTTTGCAGCCACTGTTTCACCCCAATACTCACAGCCCATCTCTGAAGGTATTCTTTCCCAGGCTTTCCTGAAGGAATTCATGAAATTTCCTAAAGCCACATAGTTACTAAAAGAGCGAGCTTGAATTCAAACCTCCTTTGTTAGAGTCCGAAGAGTTGGGGGTGGGGAAGGCTCAAGGAACACTGCTAGAAATGGAAAGCCTATTGCCCCTCCTGTGCTTATTTTCTGTTCTTCCCTGGGATGTTAACTCTTACTTTAGCTACCTAGGAAATAGCTTTTAGCAAAATTCCTTTGGCCACCATGCATAATGTTGTTCAAGATCTTCCCTCTCTGCCCACCAGAAAGTCTGCTCTTCTGTTGGACAACTGTCAGAACAGGTAGGAGCTGACACCAAACCTGGCTGAGTTAAACATGTAAAACAGGCCCAGTCACAGTAGCATGCACTGCTGGGACACTGTGCTCCAATTGGCTGGAACCACGTGGGAGATCCAGGTCTGATTCATGGTTCAAACTAAAGGCTGGGAGTGATGACATGTGCCTATAATTTCAGTGATCCAGAGTGGATGTTCAATTGACATTTAGAAAATAATAGAAAATAATTATAAATGGAAAAATAAGTAAATACTATGGCTTCAGAAAAATTTAGTATTTTGACATGTTTTTCAGGGCAACAGAGATCGCCACACAATGTTCCCCCCACACATCTGCACAGGAGATGTTTCTTTGTTTGACCTTGGCTTCTGGTCTCTGATTTCCAAGATGGTCAGGAAGATGCTGGTGGGCTCTGTGAACCCGGGACATGCATTGAGGTCTGGAAACCTCATACTCTGACTTCATCTGTGAAATTATAGCTGCTTCTCCTCATTTCACCTGGTATTTGGGGATTCAGTGTAGACTTATCTGTTATATTAAATGAATTTATTTATGTGTGATAATAAAAATATATAGTATTTATATTTGATGTTAAAATAAACCCAGAACTTTTAAAATCTGGATATTAAACCCAATAGCAATTATCTCTATTTTTTCCCCTTTGACATATCTGTTTTTATAAGGTGAATTTTGAATATTAGAAGGATATTTTTCTAACTAGATCAATACACCATAAAAGAACAACCTGTACTTGCATTTGATAGGGCAGGAAACTGAAGATCATAAAAGTGAAATTAGTTATGTAAAATATTACTACTAGTAAGTCATGGAATAGTATGATAATTCTGGGCTGTTAATGATTATTATCTCAATGTAATACTATTCTACAATACCTCAAGCCTGTCTTAAAATCAAACAAGAAAGGCTGTTTGTAATTCAGTCGAACCGGAGAGCCTGTTTAGTAATGTTTTGACAGGTGATGATTTTTTTCAGTGGTTTTCAAACTAAAGTGTGCATCGGAATCCTCTGGAAGTCTTGTTCAAACATGGATCTCTAGTCCTCACTCCCAGGGTTCTTGAGTCAGTAAGCTTGGGATGAGTCTCAATAATCTGTACTTCCAAATTTGCACTGATGCTGGGTTGCTAGGTTATGGTCCATGCTGAGGAAACTTCCAGTCTACTGGACAGCAGCAGCATAATATGACTCAAAGAGAAGAAGTGGAGGCCAGAGAAATAATGGCAAAGCTGAAAGTCTTAGTACAGTCCACACCACCAAGCTGAAAAGCAGCTTTCATAAAGAGAGAGAATATACTCAGCGTCCACTTATAATTGACTGGAGTGAGACATTCTATTAAAGGCTCTACACAACTATCATATTTAATCTTGTTCTTGACAAGAACCCTATGAAGAAGAAGTTATTAATATTCTTATTTTAAAAATGAGAAGTTTGAGAATTAGGGGTAGTTAGTAATTTGTCCTCCGTATTTGCACTATTGATAAAGAGAGCTGTTACTTTATTTATTTCAATGCTACTGCTCCGAATTACCTAAATATACATCACATAGCTTGAGATTTTCCTCAATTATGAGTGCTGTCTTGGAGTGCTTGCTTTGTATCAAGTTATACTTCGTTGATGAAATTTTAGAAAATGGAAGAAATAGGAATTGTCATAAATTTACCATTTTTTAAAAAAAATTGCCAGAGGGCACATGCACGTCGTTGAGAGAGAGAGCGAGAGAGAGCGAGAAAGCACCCCCTCCCAGTGGAGCATGTTCATGCCACAATCCCTTTTCTTCCATTTCTCCTCCTTTGGGGATTTTGGTCACAGACACATTCGTGTCCAGCCTTTTCAAGCCTCCTAGTCTACGACTCCAACCACTCAGTGGAGACCATGTGGGATCTAGCTGATCTAGCTACCTTAATCACCAGACCATGGACTGGCCTAATTAAGCTAATTTTCTAAATTGAGTTTCCACACCAACCTTTCCAGACTTGCACACATGGACCCCCTCATTACGTTTCTCTTTACTTGAGTAGCAGAATCAGAGGAGAAAGCACAAACTAAACTATCTTTTTTGAT